CGTTTCCCCTTTGCCCTTACCTACAGTATGGTAGCCTTGCCCTTAACCCTTTCCACTTAGTATAAGTAGTCGGTCACTCTGTACTAGATTCCCTAACTTGAATCTACTCAATCTTCCCTCGAACATACTTCCCTCTGAAGCCCCCTCAGCTTCAGTCTCTAGTATCTTTTCTTAGGTGCTCATCGCGCCTAAGTCTACCTCGATCGACTACCTCATCGTTTGGACAAGACTGTCCTTACTTTGAGAACGTCAGTGACTTTGAAGACATCCGTCTTAGAAGTCACGTGACACGCGCATCTCTGATATCTGCCGACTCGTCGTCGCCAGTCTCAGTCGCTACACCGGACCCTTCTGGTTACGTCATGAATGTTAGCGGACGACGCCCCTCTTAGGGCTCCGCATAACAGATCTATTTGAGTGCGTAACAATGGCTACATAATTGCTCAGTGATAGATGTACATAAATGTTTTTCCATGCATGTTACCTATGCCACAATTGAATCATTCAATGATCACTCCCGATATCCAGAACTTGAAACTGCAGATTGAGGTAGATATCACCCAAAACCCGAACACCCGAATGTCAAATTATTAGTGCCGAACCCCGAGTCCCGGGTGCCGGGTACCGAGTCCCGACACCCGGAACTCAGGATTTGACATTTTAGACGAACGACATCTTCCAGACATGTTTAAATCAACCTATGTATATCTGTAAACATTTTACTAACCCCCAAACCCCAAACTGAGATGTACCAACCCCGAACCCCGAAACCCGAGAGTGCCGGGTCTCGGGTCTCGGGTGTCCGGAACTCGGAACTTGGGAGAATTTGGGGAGATCAATACAATTTAATTTACAATCGAGTTGATTGACAACACATTGACTTACCCATGTTTTGCAATATATTTTTGTTTAGACATACCGAGTTCCGAGTTCCGGACACCGGAGACCCGAGACCCGAGACTGCCGGGTCTCGGGTGTCCGGAACTCGGAACTTGGGAGAATTTGGGGAGATCAATACAATTTGATTCACAATCAAGTTGATTGACAACACATTGAATTAACTATGTTTGCAATATATTTTTGTTTAGACATACCGAGTTCCGAGACCTGAGACTGCCGGGTCTCGGGTCTCGGGTGTCCGGAACTCGGAACTTGGTATGTCTAAACAAAAATATATTGCAACATAGTTAATTCAATGTGTTGTCAATCAACTTGATTGTGAATCAAATTGTATTGATCTCCCCAAATTCTCCCAAGTTCCGAGTTCCGGACACCCGAGACCCGGCAGTCTCGGGTCTCGGGTCTCCGGTGTCCGGAACTCGGAACTCGGTATGTCTAAACAAAAATATATTGCAAAACATGGGTAAGTCAATGTGTTGTCAATCAACTCGATTGTAAATTAAATTGTATTGATCTCCCAAATTCTCCCAAGTTCCGAGTTCCGGACACCCGAGACCCGAGACCGGCACTCTCGGGTTTCGGGGTTCGGGGGTTGGTACATCTCAGTTTGGGGTTTGGCACTGAAAATTTGACATATATATTTTTGTGAGTGTTGTGCTTCTGGTGTCCATGCTTAGAAATAGGATTTGTTGCACACCAGGGTTCAGGTGTGGGGTTTTTTCCACTTCAGTCCTGGATTATTGGTCAATGCCACACATGATAGATTCATGTTTTTGTGCTTAGGGGTTTAGATTTGGTGGTTGATGGTAGGTATATGCACTCATAGTGTACATGTATCCTATGTGTTTGATTCGCTGGTGGCTACATCAGCTGTATGTCTTGATGGAACATATCTAGGCTCACCCATATATGTAATACACCCCCGTCGGCCCGCCCGTCTATGTATTATCCCCCACGTCGGCCGACCCGTCTATGTGATACATCCTATGTTGGCCCACCCGTCTATATAATACATCCTACATCGGCCCACCCGTCTATATATTATACCCCACCTCGGCCCACCTGTCTATGTAATAATATTTATAGCACCCTCGGCCCACCGGTCTATTTGATATCTCTTTCGTCGGCCCACCCGTATATGTAATACATTCCACGTCGGCCACCGTATATGTAATACACCCTACGTCAGCCCACCCGTCTATGTAATATTCCCCTACCTCGGCCCAACCCATATATGTAATACACCCACATCGGCCCGCCCGTCTATATAACAATATTGCCTTACATCTCTCTTCAGCCCAGCTGTCTATAATATCCTACTCTACATATTACCCAGATGGGCCCACCCATCTCCATGAATGATCATATTCCCCGGCCCATCCGTCAACATTAAGGATATATATATCATTGGCATACATGGGCCCACCCGTCTCCATCGGAATAATATGAGTCCCGGCCCATCCGTCATCATCGAGAATATACACAACATGGGCCCATGATCAGCTGGCCCGCTATACGGGATATTATGGAGGTGGGTGGCCAGTATAATACGGAATTTGTCACTGAAGGGGCTCATATAGCGCGCCTAAGCACAGTCATGCGGAGCCGAAGCGCTACGAGTAGGTATGTAAAAATATATATGTGAGAGTCCATGATAAAAATAAAGATGGAATAATATGCAATGAGAGAAATAGAAATATCCGCACTAGAGAACATGGTGGACAGTGGATGGATGCATCTGGATGGCTGGCCTATAGGGCGCGCAAGCGCGGGGAACGCGCGCGCGGCGTATACATCGCGAAGCACGGGAATGGTGCGCGCATGGCGCGCGTTGCGTGGGAAAGCTGCGCATCATATAGGAATCACTGTGGATAGTACACAGAGTGATGCTATGAGTTCGTGCTATGTACTTCTTAGTGAAAACTACCATATCACACCATGAGAGGCATGATTCTCTACAACGGGATATGACAGTAGGTTGTTGTGACTCGTTGAGGTCTTCTCTATTGGTCTTCTCTGTTAAGTGTTAAATCAAATAGATGGATGCTGAGTTTATTTGCAAGGTTATTTAATGACGATGACCGATCTGTGTGAAGTGGGATGATGGCAACACTTATCAATGGTGGATATCGATGAAGTTGCTGAGTCATCATGCAAAAAATAAGTATGCATTTGGACGCATTCAAACACATTCAAAACAGTCCAAGGACTGCTGAACGTTGAACTGAACACCCAGTTCGGTTCTCCCAGCCGTTGAACGTCGGACTGGACCGCGGTTCAGTCCACTAAAAATTCGATTCGAACTGCGGTCCAGGACCAAACTTTTACATCACTACTGGCCTCAATGCACCACTTAATATTTAAACTAGTCTATGAATGACAGATGTAACAAAAGCCCAATGGAATGGATTTCAGATCAGGAATGTCAAGGTAAAGCGCCCATGATCACCACTCACATGGGTGTGATACCCTTATGCAGTGGTAAATTCTAACGCAGGAGGTGTACTTGGTGGGTGGAATAACTGTGATGTTACCTGCATATCAAAATACTTCTCAACCATTAGGAGAGGTTACAAAAGGAATTGTCTAGTGTCGATGCACTGATGTCAATACTTGCTTTAGACAATAACGACAAGACTGTCCCCTTGTGAAGTCAGAGTAAATCTCGGTTGGTACCTCAAAACTCGCGACACCACAAGTTGTTGCTCAGACATGCGAACCATGAAAATATTGTGCCAACAATGCTATACCGGCTCCGCTTAGAAAGGTGCACACAAATTACGATGTCGGAAGTTAGAGCTAACCTTGCTTGTGATGTCTGATCTTCACAGCCAGGCGACTAGGTGAAAATTTGTAAGTCGTCGGTCTAGATGTCATATCATGTTAAATGTTCTAAGACTGCCGGATTGAACAAGATATTTTGATCCTGCTCAATTTTCTTGATGCCGGAAGTTACAGCTTAATCTTGCTTGCGATGTCCAATTCTCACAATCAGGGGATTAGGTAAATATCGGTAAGCCGCAGGTCTAGATGCCGTAGCAAATTAAATGTTACAAGACTGCCGGATTCAACTAGATGTTGTCGTGCCGCTCGATTTTCTGCTAGATACTAAATAAGTCAAATCTCCTCCATGAAAAATATAATCTGCAAACTCTAACAAAAGAGGTTCATTTGGTGGGCAGAGGGACTGTGATTAGTGTTGGCACATTAAAAACATATCAGCTGACAGGACAACCACCAAAGGACATATCTAATATGAATGTATATTTCGTCTGCTCTGTTTGAGCAGCAACATAGCGGTTAAATGAAATGATAGATACAGGAAACGCTAAAGCAAAACTACAAAACTGGCAGGTTGGTGCCAGTTCTAAATGGGATGAGAAAAATCTTTTGACAGGAAGGCTGGCAGCGATCAACACGATGGAGCATAGGTCTGAAATTGGCTTTGGAGAGCAAGATACCTTTTTCTAATCAACCTCACGAAAGACAAAAATAGCAAGAAAAATTATTATTCCGTTCCACTTGCACGCCGGATACAATGGCTTTCGCGTAAAGGATTGATTTGCTGCTTGGAGAGTGAATGAGACAATGCTAGAGTTTTAGGTTAGCAACAAAAATTATTATTCTGTTCCACTTGCATGCTGGATACAACAAATTTTGCACAAAAGATTGATTTGCCGCTTGGAGAGTGAATGAGACAATGCTAGAGTTTTAGGTTAGCAACAAAAATTATTATTCCATTCCACTTGCAAGCCGGATACAATGATTTTTGTGCAAAAGATTGATTTGCCGCTTGGAGAGTGAATGAGACGATGCTAAAGTTTTAGGTAGGTGATGAGCTATTTGTTTTGTTGCATTCCTGAATATAGTTGATTACATTGAGAGTGTCTCTATGGTTTGGCTCGATTGTAAGAGATATTAAGTTAGTAGTGGATGGCATGCTGTACAGTATGCATCAGTACTACTATTCAGCGAAAACCGACCATACATCAAATGATATTCAATTTTGATCACACATGGCGAGTACGACATGATGATTGCATTAAATGTAAATGTTATAAAATGCTTATACAATGACATATAGTAAAACAATGGTCAAGCTACTCCGAATTGAATGCAGCATCCTCTTGTGCCCTTCTCTGTTCTGCCAGCGCTGTAACAGACATCTGAGACACAACTTCAGGTGTGAGATCCTCACGGTGATTTTTTCCAAAAATCTTCCTGAATAGTTATGTTAGATATCGGACACATACTATGCCACAATAGCTGATACCTTGTCCACCATTCAAGAAGTTTGCTTACCCTACATTGTGCAACAGGGCCAGGGATCCTCAAAGAAGTCAACAATATTATTCCAGAATCCTTCATAGTCGAAGTCCCCATCGATGGTGTGCCAAGATGAGACACTGGATAGCACAAAACGAACCTGCCAGAAGTAGATGTCAAGTCAGACATCAATGGTGGGCAATCATATTTACTCACTTGACAAACAATATAAGCGATGGAGCGAGGGGTGACTTTCTTCATGTTGATAATGGAGGCCACACACATTTTGACCTTGACTTGATTTAATGCCTGACAAGCACACCTGTTATTCTCGAGGATGTCGGCACCATCGCCATCGCCATCAGCTTCTCTTGCAGAAGATGGCGATGTAAATATGGCTTTGAAAGCCTAGTATTTTGAGTAAAGTCTACACACTATGATCCCATGTACTAACCTGAACGAGGATTTTCGACTTGAAAAGACCTTTCTCTAGGTCACTAACATTGAACGAGTAGTTCTCGTACACGAACCACGGCCAGGAATTTTCCAATACAATGAAGTCTGATGTTCTATCGTGAATACTGGCCTTCACGCTGCTTAGGTTTCAATGACATATTTCTATGAAGGTAAGTGCTCACCGGTTATCATTCCAGTCCCACTCAGTAGGGCATAGTAAATTCCCACAAACATCATGTGCGAAGCCGCGCAGCTGCTTGTTGTTAGACCGGAGTAGAGGCGACAGGTGAAAATCCTGATTAACCCAGGTAGCGATGAGGTCCTTAAGGGTGGAAGTATCATCACCATGGGCCGCATCAGCTCCTCTTTTAATCTGTAGCATTATGAGCACACAGCGCGAATTTATTGAGAAAATGGACCTTTTTCAACATATCTTCACAGTCATCAGCATCAAGATCTGAAAGTTTAGAATGAAACCACGGCAGAGCTTGTGAGAGTGTGAGGTAGCCTCGCTGCAGGCGATTTTGTCTGAAAAATGGAGTTAGGTATGTCATGAAAATACAAAAGACATACTCTGGGGTGCTGCCTCCAAGTCATCCAATATGGCTTCCTCATACCTGTGATTGTTCTTGGCGATCAAGTCTTCTAGGTTAGTATAAAGGACGCTCATGTGACGAACCCCCCTGCCTTGAGCGACGTAGTAGGTAGTTTTTCTTTGATGATCAATGAGTTAGAAGTAGTGAGTAAGACGGTATGCAATGAACCTTTGCTTTGTTCCTCTTTCTTGCCTCATCATTTGTAATTCTTCTTCCAATGCGGCGATGCGGCCCTTGGCCCTTGCTTCCGTGGAGGTAGGGACCGCCCTTGAGGAGTCTGGGAGTGCGAGGGCATGTGCCCCATCACCAGGTTTGACATAGACATGGTAGAAATGACAGGTAAAGTGAAGAGTACGGCAGAGAAGATGGAGGTAAGGAAGAAACCTGCCAGACCATTTTATATATGTGATCGCTAAAAAACTAAGACATATAGGGCAATCCCAAAATGATGACAGGGAGGGTGCAGTTAAGTAAGTTGGCTCTTCGAAATATGGTGTCATAATGTACTGTTAGTGTTCATGTTCAAATCACTGCTACTGTCTGCCATTGCGAAAGTTGGGATTGGCACGCCGACTCAGACATAGGCTGATGCAGTGGCAGAGTAAGTCCAAATAATGGCCTGAATGTGATTCATGCCCACCTTGAGTCGGGAGTGCCGGTCTTCCATCAACCTGTGTCACATGTTCAAGTTGAATAATTTGAATATTGTAATTGTGACGGAGATGAATGCTAAACGTCTAACCTCGAGACAAGTTTCTTCCGATGATCTGAGCCCTCCTGAGCCATTTAGGCTGTATGCAATACATATGTTCTAGGCAACTCAACACTCTCAACAGTACGTAGCGGGGCTGCTGGACCGTACTTTTGGAATCTGGCCGATGCAACTGCCGCGGTATGCTGAGCTGGTAATGCTGTGAGTACAGATTCATACATTAAGTTCTTAAGTTCAATGTCATTTTTATTATATAGTACAAATGGACATGAAGATTACTTGGTACCTATGAGGCGAATCAATGACCCTGCATTGGTGACCTTCGCTCCTAGAAAAATGTCAGTTTGACCATTATCAACAGGCCGGCCTGGATTGTATGGGAGGGTTGGGAGGAGTTGGTACATCCCTTGGGGGGGACATATTACTATCATACTAAAAAGGCGAGCACTGGCCGATTGTACAAGCAATGTATTTACTAACCTAAATTTTAGAACATACACGTTGATAAATATACGCTATATTGATCGATGAGGGCTTGAAGATTTCATCGACGTATCAAGAGCCACAGTGAAAGAGGATGAATGGGTACT